CTTGATAATCTGCGCGACGGCCGATGCAGGATGAAGTATGTTTGAACAAAACGTCATGGTTGTATGTGGGCTGAGATACTGCCAGGACGCCCAGACCTAGACAGGACGATTAGGGTCCTCATCCAAAGCCTTTGGCTCAAAAGCCTGTCCGCAAGGCAGCGGGGAGGTGGCAATGACTTAGTTTTACAGAAATGGACGCCATTCCGTTTCAAATCCGCAAGCTGGATGACCAGGAGACTGAGTTTGTCTGACCTCTCACTAGTGACCAACCTGGTAGGATTAGCTCTCAAGGTGCCCGGAGGCATCACCCAGTATAGCTCAATGGGTCAATGAGGTATGCAAACCGTCGCACCACGTTAAGGTCCAGTCTCGAATAGAGTAGCTCTAACCGGGGGCTCAAAGTGAAGCTCACACCGGCTTGACCAGCATATAAAACTGCACCATCTCCGGAAAAACGCAATGAGAAAGTACTAAAATGTATCGTATGTGGGGGATCGCAGCGTAAGTACAGAGTTCGATTCTTGCGTGCGAGTTTACGATAAAAAAAACAAGGGTTCGACCAATAAAGTCACTAGTGTCAAATTAAATGCTGTTTGTTGGCCCATCCGTAACAAAGTGCGCACGCGTGACATGCCAGTCTCAGTGAAGATCGAGGGCTCTAAAGAGAAACAGATGAACTGGCGGTCTACTTGGCTAGACATGTACTTGCCGACTGGACTGGAACGACGCTGTGCGATTATGTGTAAATTGAAACGTCTATCGAAGCAAGATGGAGAAGGCCAAGAATCGAGGGAGGAGTGATAACAGGGGAATAAGAGTGAAGTTGATGATAAGGATGAAAAAGCGCGAGGGGGGATAAAAAGACGGTAAAAGACGGGAAGTAGCACCCTTGCCCATATCCACCCTACTCGATGCATATAGGGGCTGTCATTTTATACGACGGCCAGAGCATCAAAAAATTGGTTGAGGAGAAATTCATTGTATTGCGCGGGTAGGATAGTGTCAAGTTGAACAGGCTTAGACTGGAGAACGAGTAGAGTCGCCAGCTAAATCCTTTGTTCAAAACGCTGATCCCGTTTAAAGGAGATTTTTGCAGTGTGCTACAAGGAGTTTGTTTCAAGAAACAAGAATCCATCCCTACTTCAAACCCCAAACTGGAAAGCCAGGAGATTGAGTTTGTCCAACCACTGAGCAATCTGGTATGAGTGGCTCTGAAGGAGTGAAAAGCACCATGCACCATAGCACAATGGATTACTAAGGCACGCAAACCTTCGCACAACGTTAAGGTCCAGTCTCTCGCGATGGATGAAATGAGACAGGAGTGAAGGTCAGTACAATAACTCACGGAGCTGAGGGGCGCAAGAAGATAGGGACTGAGAGTGGAGCAGCCAAACTAGAACGGCGAGAAGGTTACGCAAAAGATAAGTTACTTTTTGGAAACTACAAACCAGCCTAGCTCAGCTACACAAGAAGTAAGTGGAGAAGTTATCTAGACTAGAGAGGTGAGCAAATATGCTGCCGAAGGAAGGGCGATAAATGACTTGTTTGCCATGCTAAATGCAGTCGAAGAATACGAAAGAAATGTTTTAACCGTCGAGATACCAGATAAATCGGAAAAAAGCATACAGGGACTAACGGCTCCAAGGCGCCGACTGTTAGCACAGTAGTCGAAAGGGAAAGATATAACGAACAATTAACTGTCTGATTCTGGAATCTGACTGCGATGAAGCAAATCGAATCATGCCCAAATCCATCTACTGATTAGTAATCTTCGGAAAAGGTCTTCGCTTATGTTAAGAGGCGCTGTGGTTCAAATTCCGCAATTCCAACTTTGATGCGGCCCGATGGAACTCAAGCGTATGGGGGCTCTAATAAGGCTTGTGTACTTGGTAAGCAGTATGCAGGGTTTTGCAAATGAGACAGCATTTACTAACGTAGAAGTTGTCCACAGAGTTCTTATTTAGCTGAATTTACTGTGGTGGAAACGCAAGTTATTAGGCTGATAAAAGAACTGAACCCTTTCAAAGCAGCTGGGCCTGACTCAATTTATCCGAAGCTCTGCATGAGTTGGCAGCGGAACTAAGTGGGCAGCTGACGAGGGTGTTTCAGAAGTCACGTGACAAATGAATAGAAGCATGCTGTCACCAGTTTTATCTTCAAAAATGGAGACAGGATTCTGTCAGCTAATTATGGGCCAGTCAGTCTGATTAGGGTCGTAGTCCAACTGTTTGAGAAACTGGTGGGAGATTCGTTGGAAGATCACCAGAATAGATTTAATACAATCAGTAGTGCACAACACGGATTCAGGAAGGTGTTTTCGTGTCTGGCGAATTTGTTGATTGCTCGTGAAGCTTGGGCTGAGGCAGTGAACAATGGCCACGTAGTGGACGTGCTTTTCGTCAATTTCGCGAAATCTTTTGAAGCAGTACCCCAGTTGAGGATATCACAAAAGCTGAGCTCCTGCGGTGTATCTGACCGCGCCCTTCACTGGGTATCCGTATTCTTGCAGAAAAGAGAACTGTGTACGCATGCGTCACAGCTTATCCTTTAGACAAGCGTTCCTTAGCGGTGTCCCCCGGCTCGGTCCTTGGACCGATGCTATTCTCCACCTATGTACACCATTTCCATCAGGAGCTTGAGGTATCATCGCTATTATTTTCGGACAAATTAAAGCTGTGGAATGTTGTGGATGTCCTTGAGGGTTCTGAGGCTATTCAGAATGCCCTGGGTAGGCTCTGAGACTGGTCTTTGTGGCCACTGCCCAGTAATCACGCTGGGTGAGGGTTTATGGCAAACTCTCGCCACCCTTCAGTATCACCAGCGGCGTGAGACAAGGATGCCCGCTGTCACCTTTCCTCTTCAAGTTCGCTATTGATGAAGTCATAGAAACAGCGTTCGCTGAACATGACCTAGATGGTGTGGAGCTACTTCTTGACTTGGAGTATGCGGACGATATTGCCCTAATCTGTGACAGCCTCCAAACAAGCCAAAGAGCACTGGACCGATTAGCACTGGCTGTCAGTTGTTTTGGGCTATGCTTTGCTCCATCGAAATGCAAAGTAGTTCTCCAAGATTGGCAGGGACCCAACCCTGCGCTAACGCTTGGTGGTGATCTGCTAGAAGTCGTTCAGGAATTCAAGTACCTGGGCAGCTATATTAGCACCTGTGGGATTGAAGATGAGGTTACGAACCGCATAGCAAAAGCTCGAGGTGCTTTTGCCAATCTCCGCCACCAGTGGCGCAGACGCGACATTACTCTCGCCCTGAAAAGCAGAGTTTACAACGCAGCCGTCCGTTCTACTCTCTTATATGGTTGTGAAACCTGGCCCATCAGGTCGACTGACATAAAGAGACTCGTCACGTTCGATCATCGCTGCCTTCGCAGCTTAGCTCATGTCTGGTGGGAACACCGCGTGAGCAATGAGCGTGTTCGACGTCGCGTATTTGGTGCAGGAAGAGCGAGTGAACCGCTCAGCACCATTATATCACGCACCAGGCTCCGATGGCTGGGCCACGTGTTGCGCATGCCAGCACACCGACTCCCGCGAGGTGCATTGTTTGCACGTTGTGGGTGCGGTTGGAAGAGGAGGAGGGGAGGCCAAGTGATGACTTGGTCGAGAGGAATGAAAACCCTCACTTCGAAGTTGGCGTCGGTTGGTGCATCCCGGCTGCCTGGCTGGGGTCCTAAGGACGGTGAACACGTTTGGTTGGACACACTTGCTGATATGGCTCGGAGCCGGCACCAATGGCGTTTGTGTTGTGATTTCCTTTGCCCATCCCCCTCCTGTTTAGTAGCCCCCTCCAATCACGATCTCACCTGTTAGGCATAATATGATTCTCTTTTTACGGCAGCCAGCTGTAAGCTCTCCGGAACGATGTCCATCCGTTACTGGGGACTCAGTGGGCTTGCCACTGTTTGTCACTGTTTTCCTTTTCTTTTATTTTGTATTGCGGCACAATAGCTGAGGTGTTTTAAACCTCCAGCTAACGTGTAATGATGATGATGATGAATCACGCTGTTTCGTTCTTCGAATAGGAGCAACTTTTCCACCTCCGAGGTACATGCTCGGTGGAGTCGATTTCACCCTTGTCACCAACCAAAGACCTAGACGTCGTCTATTCATCGTCATTGCATTCGGGTGACAAATGGACGAAGGCCGTAAATATGAGGTCACGAATATTATGGTTAATACACCGTTCCTTCGGAGTCCTAACTGCCGTCATCTGGAATCTTGCGTCCAGGCTTGCCCGCCCTACCTCCTTCGGAACAAACTAAGGCTCGATAGGGTTTTGCGAATAGGTTCCATGTTAATCGAGGGGTTACGGGGACAAACGTACCGGGAGTGTCTACTTAGCTTGGGTATGTACACAATGCACTTCCGACGGCTTCGAAAAAACTTGGTCCTTCCTTACCGCATTTTAATTGGGAAGTTTAGACCAAACTTGAGTTGGCTATTTAGCCCGGCTAGGTTGTCTTGCCTTTGCCGTCATCCCATAAAGCTACACAAACCGCGTTCAGACCGGATCAGGGCAGAAATTCGGTTAGTGCGCAGTTAGCGAGCGCTGGAACGCATACAGAAAATGTAGTCAGTGCACCTACCTTGAAGGATTTTGGGTGTCAGTGAGACGCCCTTAGTTGGCAACACGAAACCTTTCCCTTTTCCCGACCATATCAATCTTCCAACTTAGTTCCCATAGTATGTGCCTTTGCTTACTGATATTACCCTTCATTTAAATGTCTGCATCCTCTTTCATTTCCTCCCATATCATTCCTACTTCAAATGACCGGCATAGCGGGGACTGCTACGGTAGGAAACCTGAGCGATAATTTGTTGACTACGGTGTGGCGCAGGCGTTTCGTTTTAGATCTGTTAAGACCTCGAAACACCCTATCATTAACTGGCTCAAAGCTCTGCTCAAGGGATATTCCTATCGTCAAAATATCTGAACCTAGCAAAGTATTCGGAGGCAACAACACAAAGGAATTGTAAATAACTTACTGTGCGATCCATCAGCGCTCTGGGCTGTGTTCTGGGGAGCAATGTAAAGGTTTTGAAGTAAAATGGTCTAAAGACAACTGTGAGCAGAGGACAAAGTACCTGTCCAAAAGAGGGTTTGTTGTGCAACCTGGAGCATTGTTCGCCATGGCGGCAAGCACCAATCTTAAAATAGAAAGAACAATTGACTCTATTCAAATAGATAAAACAGTGCGGCTTACTTGTCTTTTTCTGTGCCGAAAATAGAAGCCAGATACTCTGCCATTTGGACGACGGACCGCGCAACTGAACGGTTTTCAGGTCAAATCAAACAGCGACAAGGCAATGGTTGTAAGCATAAAACAGCCAGGAAGTGCGATGCGCTTGGGAACGCCAGCTGAAATGTAGGTCGTCATTTGAATAAGGATCAGATCAGGTCAGGTCCAGCGGACGATAGAGGCCTTCGCCTGACGAGCGTGCTATTTCTTGTGCCGGTAAGTAAAGCGGACCCCGGCACTTCGCCGTTAAAAGTATGAAATAGACTTGGTGTGTAAAAGGGATTAATTGCAACTGAATGCCATATGTGTGTTGCTATAATTTTGGGTTGTTTGAAATGACTATAAATCGAGGAGGCTTATTCGGTTACTTTCATCATTTTGAATTACGCTGCAGGATTTTGTGCTGCACAGTAGTCGCAGTCTCTGCAGGGTACTGTAGAGATGGCGAACTTTGCTGCTTGATTGCGATAGCGCAATGCAAATGAGTTCTATACGCTGTCACTCTGGTCTGGTTAATCTTTAAAAATAGATTTTAGTGGGCAAAAATAACAATCAGCTATCTCGGTTTCGAATGCACATGAATATGGTTAAAAACTCCGCCGAATTCGGTAAATATATTGGACAGTAAAATATCAACGCGTATCTCCGTTATTGCATATTGCGCGCAGTTTAAGCAACAAACGCAAATACCGGTCACTCGTTCTTTTGGATGATATATGAAACTAATTGGCTGTCTTGGAAGTCTGTTTGCGACACTTGAGTTTTTGCAACGTGGACACTGAAAACAAATTTTTTGACAACCGTGGCTGCACGAACTTACTTTGAGTATCCGTGGGACGACATTAAGCGCGCTTTGGGCGCCCTGACTGCATACCTTTTGGACGCAAAAGGCACACCAAAAAGTGAAGGAAAAGCATTTGGAAATGCATAGAAGTTTATGCTTACCAAATTGACTGTGCATTTTTATGTTGCAAAGTTCCAATACTGAACGCGTTACCATGCGTCTAGGTAACAAACGAGAATTAATGAAGTGCGTAACGCTAGCAGCTATATTTGTCTGAATCCTGCGAAACCCTAGTGCAATATATAGAACTAAAATAGAAATTATTCACCGCTATGTATTATAATAAGCTTTTTTATTCTTCTGCGACTAAGTATTATAAGATATCTGCCAGTTTACTAAAGTCTATTCCAGGACTACTTAGTCCTTAATTTTGCCGGCAGGGAAGTCCCGGAACTTTACTGTGAAATCCTTTAATAATATAGTGAACTAAATTACGGCGTTGTTTGGTGTTTTGTAGCAGTAGATAAGTTATCGCAGCCTTTTTAAGCTATCTTATTTAACATTGGATAGTTAGTAAACTTATTGGCCAGTTTCGCTTATTTAATGGTAACTATGGATTATCTTCCTATCCCCACAAATGAACGACCAGCCCTTATTTTCGAGCGTGCTTTTGCTCTCTTCCAGAGCAGCGGTATAAATATGAGGATAAGGTGCGTTATATGTCCATATTTTCTTAACTCATAAGCGACAGCATTAGCTGCGCTGTCCATTGCTTAAGTGTCCTTCCTTTTTAACTGTACTTTTTGTCAGCTCGTGCGATCGGTTGTGCGCCATGAGTGATCAATTAGTGTGCTTTTGGCCGTCGCGATCGGCCTATTCGGAAAGGTTGCTAGTACGGTAGCTGGTACGGTATCTAGTAATTACTAGACTGGAATATATTTCCAAGTAACTTAAACGGTTTCTGCATTCCCTTAGCAAGAGTGGCGGAGACGTTTCTCCTAGAGTGAGTCTTGTAGCTCTATGCACCAACCTATTGGCCATCAGCTGTCCACTTGGACTTCTTCTGGATGGCATGTTGTTCACTCACACTATTTTCCAACACAACCTTATATCATACCTCGAAGAAATATTTCAAGGTTACAGATAGCGTCAACGTGTAACGGCAATCTACTTCCCTTTTGTACCAACGCAATGCTATAGCCGTCAGGCTAAACCCGAAATGAATTAAAATGACTGCAACTCGTCCATAATGGACACAATTTTGATGGGCGTTGGTCAAACAAGATTTTATAAATAAATTCATATACTCGGTGTTGAACGACACATGCCAACAAAGCATGATCAAATATGTACAAGCAAATTCGACGCTAAAATATGATCAACTTTGGTCTTGTCATTTTGAACGGGCATCTGACGTAGTTTTAAGAAATAATGTAAAGTTGTGCTAACTGCTCGATATACCAGTTGATTTAGTACTGATGCAAAACGGTTGCTGATCACCTTATGGGATACTGAAATGTGTTCCAATTACGGTTCTGAAATAAAGCAGACTGCAGCGCTGTTGATCGCAGTCGGCCTCTCCTCTTTGCATCCTCAGGCGTAGGAAGCGCTCTCTCATGGCCGCACTGACTCCAACGGAGTCCAGTTGAGTGTGTTCAGTACGAGTGTATCAGTGTCGCTGTATTCTGGACCATTCGGAGGTTGAAGCATTGATAAATTCAAGAGAGGGTATCTGAGGAAAAATTGGAAAGGGTAGCAACCATAACCTTTACCATAACGTGTAATTGTGTGTGCCTTTAACATGCGACAAAGAGACTCGAAGCCCAACGTCATTACAATCTGTTTGGTTTCCTATTATATTGGTACCAAACATGCCACTGATGGAGTCGCTATCATATGACAATGAGCCTCGGAGTCTAGTGCTCAGTTCGAAAGCCCTAGATCCTATTAAATTGTTAACAAATGTCCCACTACTGGAGCTGCTATCCTACGACCGCGAACATCGGACCCGAGGGCTATTACAAGACGCCTGTGTCCTATTACATGGGCACCAATTCTGCCACTAATTTAGATCACGGTCAGAATCGCTGTTATCCCAATGGATCGGAGAAACTATAATAAGAACAGCGCATTATGGTTATCAAAAGCAGTAGGCGTAAAGGTACGGGGTTGTTTATTAAATATGTGACTTGGACGCACCTGTCTCATGCGGTGTATCGTTAAACAAAATTTTAATTATCGGATATAGCGAAATAGGACGCCGAAGGAACAAACTGCTTTGCGCAATTGCATGAAAATTTTCATCTGCACAAGCATTGCCTTCTCAGCATTTACTTTACCGAGCATAGATCTATATCGACGCTACAATGATGTGAAAAAAGGTAGAATAGTGCGGAATAGTTTACTATGGCGCAGCATTCCGCACAATAACTCCAGTTGCGGGAAACTTGGCAGCTCGCTTGCGACAGCTAGTCGATTAAAGATAAGGAAAAATTCAAGAGTACCAAGTGCATCTGCTAAAGTTGGGTAAAGGTTCCTGACTTGTACTTGCAACCGCAACGACCTCATCCTGACTCTTCGCTGGCACTCGCCATACTAAGTTTTAATTTACCTTCGTCACCAAAGCAAGTTGCTGAGGTAAAGGCAGCTGTGAACTCCGGGGATGAGGAAAGACCAATAGCTAAATATGAAAGAAAAACCCTTTGTTACCCGTGGTACAGTTCGGCACTGCTATCACGCGCACCGCTACAGGTTGCGAAGCGTTAAGGCAACTGGTACAACGAGCACCTGATTTCACACCCAGAGACGTTCGACAGTAAAGTAGTCGATTGTGCACACAGAGAACTGCGGAATCCACAGCCGGCTTGCTGCATGTGAAACACAAAACTGCGGAAGTAATAGTCTCCGGCCAACGCGGTTGTTTCTTTTTTCCTCGACAGTCGGATGAATCACCAGTTAATGGTTTGCGCTTTCACAGAATCGCTTGGTACCGTTCCGAAAATCAGGTACTTTTCTGACAATCAAAAAGATGTGCGATTAAAGACGTTGTTGGTTTATTAACGGTAAGGTTTAATGTCCGCTGCTACCTGCTCTCGGCCGGCAGGTTGTAGTTTGCCATGCAGCGTACGCAAATACCTATTTGGCTTGTAAATTATGCACACAGCAGAAACGGCTTACGCGTCGCATACGCGTGCTGCTTGTATGCCGTCATTAAAAGCACACACGACAGCCACATGGTTTCATACAATGGTCAGGTAGAAATCTTCAGGGAGCAATCGATAGTGAAGCGGCCTCTCTGGTGAAGTATTTCAAACTACGGAGGCGTCAGCAAGTTTCATTCACATACCACTCCATTTCTAAGGTCCAAGTAAACTGCTCATAATGTAGGTTGAATGCATACGTAGTTAGGAGGCAAACGGCGCGATGAACGTACGCCTTGCCTACTAGTAGCTGACGCCAGACACAGATAAATGCCACACGCAGCTATTCTCCATAAAGTAGAACTTCCGCATGCTACCAGACTTTGCGCAAGACTATGTCAAGTTGATTCGATGCGTTGCTCGCTTGCTGCAACCCTAAGTTGACATTCACAACTCGTTGTTGTAGCTCCAAAGTGCACAAGTCCACCTTGGGTGTGTTCCGTTTGATGTCCTTTTACGTTCAACCAGTGCGCCGTGAAGTAAAGCCCAAATTGAATCCGGTACTTTGAAAGAGCTGTAAGTCTTGTAAAAATCCAAAACGAATATTACACAGCGAAAGATATTGTACTCAGTCTCCGCGTCCCAAGCTGCCATGCGATGAAATAGAAATCGCGACCTGTTAGGGTTTGTCTACATTATGTAACAGAGATTTAGCACATATGCTTTCTGATGGCCTGGCAGGTTAAAAGTAGCGCAAGCAAGTGTCACATAGAAAAATCGCGAACGCCGCAAATATCTGAGCAGCCCGTTTGTTCATCAAACTTTCGCTGACAGGGACATAAGGACCCGTAGTGTCTCGAAACACTACGAAAAATGTAAGCATATATGCGTGATCATCCAGAAGCAGAAACGCAAAAAACTTAGCTGGCAGTAATTAGCCACCTTCTAAAAACCGGTATAGTAAGATACTGCAAGAAACCTGAACTGTCGCTTTAAATTCTTACTTCAAACGGCTAGAACCATCAACCGCTTCCATACAAACGACATGTAACATTTGTCGGAACAAAATTAATTGTTGATAAAG